GACTGGGCTGCTATATATGTTCCAGGAATTGACGATCTTAGTAATTCTTGGAAAGGCCTTATATGCAGCCCTTGTTGATCATAAAAAGGACAGAGGAGACATTTACAATTTTAAGGAGCAAATATAAAAGGAAAATCCACAGAAGGAATATAAGAGCCATGTGTTCATGAGCAGTGCAGTGAAATCTAATGTAAAGTTGATTAAAGACTCAGTTACTTTAAAGACTAAACTCGCCCGCTGTGCATCTATGATTTTTAATTTGTAATTAAGCTCTACTGTAGTAAACCTCATGTTTCAGTGTCTTACGGCATCCTATTCCTTTGTATGTATCTCATATACATGCACACACATACACACACACTTTCTCTTTCTATCTGACTTGATTCTGAAAACCTTTCCGCTTTACATTTCTCTGCTGTTTAATGGCTTCTTAATAAAATGTACATTTATTTGCCAGTCTTATTTGAAAAGAAATTTAAGAATATCATTTTATAATTTTATAATTCTAATTATATTATTTCCTTGTTATAATGTAACATATAGATGGGGCAAAAGCTGAAAGATAATAACATGCCATGTGAAATTTTTCTCTTTTCTTGTTTATGCATTAGTACTGTGAGAGGTTAACATTATTCAGCAAAGAACTGTATACTAAGTCCCCTTGGGTTTGCATTCCATATTGTGGCTAATCTTGCCTATGTGATTTTTAAAAATATAGTATCACTTATTTTTTGGTCTACTTTCTTGAGTGAGAACAGTAAGGTACATTAGAAATTCAAGACAAGTCAAATTTCCAAAGTATTGTGAAAAACATACTCTGAAGGCCGTAACTAGCTGGCAGGTTGCCCACTTAAAGTATCATGTTTATAGTACTTCTGTATTTTGTATATGAATTACACACACACTTATATATCTGAATATATAAGTATCCAAACAACAAACATTTATTTGATGCTACTTCATAACAGACACTAGATGTACAAAGAATGAACATGGAAGGGCTGTTGATATAAAAGATTTTGTAGTCCATGAGAGGAGCACACCATGTGTTGAGTTTCAAAAATCAAAATGTACTTAGGCTGATAATGTACTAAAGCTGGTGGGAGTACAGAGGTGTGGACATACTGTTTCTACTTGAGAGCAGAAAAACAAGGATTCACAGAAGTGACAGTGGGACTGGAACATGCAGGGTGAAGCCTTCTCCAGATGGTGGAGGTGGATGTCCTCCAGAAGTGGAATCACCTGGGCAAGAACACAGAGGCGTGAAAGAGCCTCAGATAAACAGTAAAGAATGTGGGCAGTCCTGGCATGGGGTCTGTGGCTGCACATTTGGAAACGAATCTGGGAGGGATACTTGTAGATATTTGTAACATTAACATCAAGCTGTTTGTAGCGTGTCAATGAGATTAAATTATTTTTCTTTCAGTAGAAATAGAAACCCGTTATAGGCTGTTTCTTTTTTTTAATTTCTAACTTTTTTTTTAATGAAGGAAAGTAACACAATCAATCTTGTGTTATGGGACAAAGACGCTGATACTCCTTTGTAAATGTTACTGATGGAGGAAGCATTGGGATGCTTTTCAGTTCAGCAGCTGTGACAATGAGGATCCAAACCATCTGAGACAGTTGCAGGCTAAAGGCATATTCAATGAGTAGAATTATTAATTATTGTTTTTAATCTCTTACTGCTAATTTATAAATTAAACTTTATCATAGGTGTGTAAGTATAGGAGAAACCATAGTATTTATGAGGTTCAGTACCATCTGCTCTTTCGGGTATCCACTGGGGGTCTTGGAACATAGCCCTTGGAAGTAAGAGGGGACTATCATATTAAATATAGGTCTAAATTTTCATATTGGAATTATTAAGTCAAACACCGTACCTTTTATATTAGTGTTTTCAACATAAATTAGAGAACAGTACAAACTGATGGAAGTTAATTCATGTAGGTAATATATCCCTCTTTAATGAGTTTTCTATTCAGAATTTATAAGATAGAGTGTTTATTGGCAAAAGGTGGAGATCACATCATATTATTACTGAATTTACAATACAGAACTAATTTTTCAGATGTTATATACACTAAAAATTATATCCAAACAGGTTGCAATATGAATTATAACCCAGGTATTTTGAGGTTCTATGGAAATCATTATTTAGTTGCAGTTTATATCAAATGGACTTCTCCTAATGACTTTTTTTCTTCATGGTGGTTCTATAACTCTCAGTGTTCCCGTTTTCTGTTCTTTGCTTTATGGATATCAGTATATATAGTAACATGATATTAATACATATATACTCTCATATATAAACATATATATATTCTTTGAGCACTAAAATTTAGAATTTATTTCTATAACTTTATTAGTATTAGGTTTGTTATTAAAATTACACTATTAACTTACTACTTAACAGCACAATGATACATGGAAAACTGAGGTGGTTCAAAACTCTCCACTGCCTCTTCTCTCAATTTCCTTACAAAAGAATGGTGTCTTTGCTAGTTACACGTGCTCTGCGCTTAAGCATTTAGAATGGCTACATAGCCAACCTGGATTTGAGTATTAAGATAGTAAATCCCAGGGTGACCACTTCCTAATAGAAGGCTCCTGCAGTTTTTGAGGATATCACTGATTATATTATTTCCTTTTTGCAAATTAAACATGTCCCCCAGTACAAGGCCCTGCACCTACCTATTGGGCTTTGTGTTTAATAATGTCAGGAACTGGTGTGCTATACAAGCAGTGAGCATCATGGTGCTCAGAGACGTACATCCAGGTAATTAACAGAGTCTTTTTCATGAAGAGAGTATGAAATCTGTCTTTTGTGTTGGCTTGAAAAAATCATGAAGCGTCCAGCAAAACAACCTGGTATAATGGTGTTTAATTGTGCTCTGGTGAACACTTAGAGAAACAGCTCCAAGAATTCTTGAATAAGTTACATTGGTTATTAGTGAAAAAACTTTTTTTATTACTCTTTTCTCTAACTGGATGGACAATCATTTCTGATGCTATGGATGAAACTGGAGAAGTATATTACAGGTGCAGTTATGCTCACTATCCAGTGATCCTTTTGAGTTGCATGAAATGGAATTAAATGACATGGGCTGCTTCTTATGAGATACGGGAATATTTCTTAACTTATTCCTTTAAATACGTGAGTATTAAGTTAAAAATTATTAACACAGAGCATTTAATACTATTTTTGGAAGATGGGATTTTTTTGCACACCTAGTGAAGGTTCATATTAATATTAAAACCAAAAATATAAAAGGGAAGATACTATCTTATTCATCTTTTTTTCCTTCTTATTGGGCATACAGTATGGATTTGGTAAATGTTTATTAAATTTAGTTAATAGTATTTCTTAGCAGATATAATACTTTTTTTCTGTAAATATATCCTTGGAGTAGAATCATCTCTAGCTTTGCAACTGCAATATTGACACCTAGAATTTGGGCATTATTAAATATCTGTAGACTTTGTCTAAACAAAATATGTGTGATGAAATGTAGAGAAGATCTCCAGGAAAATCACTGCACAGAAAAGGGAAGGGAAGAGGGGAATTTATTTTTGCAACTGTTCATTTCTACAGCATTAAGGAGGATGACATAGCTTTTATGAATCTTTAATATAGGTATTCAATGGCTATTTGTCAAAGTAACTATTAATGACAGTACAAGCATTGATGCTGATGGAAATATCAGTTATCCCTCTTTAATTAGACACATTTGCCTACTTCTAGAATTTCCCTGGGAAAGGCTGCTATAATAAAACAGTTTTTCATCTTTTGAATATAACTGAAATTCACCAAAAAATTTTAAGATAAAGCATTTGGCACTGAATGTGGCACTGAAAGTGATCTTTCTGAATTTTTTGACCACCTGAACATCAACAACAAAAAGGGTAGAAGTGAAGAGGTGGTTCATTCTCTTTACTTTTACAGTAAAACTTAAAGATTTAGTTTTTTCCAATTTATTGCCTTAAGACAAAAGCCTGAATGAGTAACTAAATGGAAAGAAACAATCCTGTGTATCCAAAACTGAGCAGTTACTTCAAATGCTCCCAAGCAATGAAGAATGTACTGCTTATTGTATACATCTGGATGTATATATCACTCCCTTCATGCTCAGTACAGATTTTTTTCTAACCACCAGCAACATATTTATTTTATTTATATCATGTTTGATCAGTTTGATTTTACTTTGATCTGAACTTAGTATAGTAACTTGGAGCAAGATATAAGAAGAGATACCAAAAAGTTCTTAGAGAAAGACTTAACTATGATTATACATATATAAGACAAAAATACAGTAAAAAAATCTCATTTCAATTTCTCTTACTACGTAAGTGATATGAAGCAAGTGTCCCAAAATGAGAAAAGCTGAATGTAATTTTGGTAGTCTTTAATGTTCTGTTTCACTGAACCTTTAGGTTTACTCAGTCTTGAGGCCTATGGGTGCTTCTGTAGCTATAACTGCAATTATTTTAGGTTCTTAAATTTCTCAAATATTGTCCTAATTAAGATCTCCCTAATGCTAGTATGGAGCTGTTGATTTTTAAATTGCAATTGTAAATTACTTATACCCTCTAAAGTTCAGTGAGACTTTAAACCTATTAGCTTTTTTATTGACATCCTAATTGTGAAATTAAAACATCTACAATAAGCAGATGAGCTAATGTAAGCAGTGTCATGTTTTCTTTGGTGTACAAATCAATAAAGTTAACCTGATGACTTTCATTTCAATGATCTAGCTACTGGACATAGACAAAACTCTTAAAGTAGATATTTAAGATATGTATCATTTATTTGCCGCAACTGCTATATTGTTACCCAACATTTTGGTTATATAAAGGTTAAATTATTCTCGGTGCATCCTATACTCACAGAATCATTGAGAAATGCCAAATACCAAAGGAAATTGAAGTCCAGCAGATAAAATACATGACTTGAGCTCTGTAAATCAAAGATGTTAGAGTCATATTGTCTTATTTTCCAGGTGCATATGTGCTCCAGGTCAAGGCCACGGATGCAGATGACCCGACCTATGGAAACAGTGCCAGAGTCGTTTATAGCATTCTTCAGGGACAACCTTATTTCTCTATTGACCCCAAGACAGGTAAAAATTTTATTAGGGACAACATTATTACCACCCCTTCAAATATTTAGATGTTGATTAAATCTTGGCACTGGAACTTGCCTTTGTATATGCAATGAAGATTCAGTGCACCGCACATTAAGCAAGGGAAGTTAAGATCTTACTTTGCTGCAGAACTATTTCCTTTGGATTGAACTCTGTGTAAATATAAGCTGCTCCACATATATATGTATCAAGTACACATTTGTTAGGGATTTTTGGTATGATTTACTTTAAATTGTCAAGTCAGGGCACTTTTTAAAAATCCTTTTGGCTAAAATGGCTTTAAATTTCAGTTTATCTTCGGTGGGTTCAATTATATTTAGTTTGGGGCCTTATTCACATGTGGTAAGATCACGGAGCTTCTATTACTATATTAATGAAGGGTTATGAATGGACGATTGGATTAATATAGACATGCTTCTAAAGACAAAGGAAAGGGTTGGCAAATTCAGAACACCAAGGTCATATGTTCTTTTCGTCTGTGTTTTTGAAGCCAGTCTCATTTTTAAATTAAATTATTTAAATTGCAATTTTTCACAGCCAAGTATATAAGAAACAGTAGAACATATAGAATGTGCAGTAGGTTATGCACATGGAAGATTTTTGCATTCCTTTTCAAATGAAATGAGGTCTCCTTGTTTCTAGAGAATTTGTTTTTGAATACTGTATAGTTTTAGAGGAGATCTGGTCATGCTAACCAGTGATCAAAGGAGAAACTGTTAAAGCAGAAACTCCACAATGGCAGTTATTTTATCAATTCATATAGTATATCACAATATACTGTGTATTGAATTCAATACCATTTATTACATTAGCTCAACATGATGGAATAAATTTTTAAGGGATTGGATTAAGAAGTCACTTTTTAAATTTGTAAATAAATCTTATAGAACTACATTAATTTGAAAGGTACTAATTTCAGACACTGTATATGCAAATAGACTAAACATTTCAAAATATGTGTTTCCTCATATGTGTGTGCTTAACATCTGGAGTACCAATGATATAAGTTAATTAATAGTTAGCCATGTATTAATGTTGCCTAGAAATATAAAGTCGAATAAGTGGAACTAGGGAACCTGCAAACTTCCTGTCAATTGAACCTGTCCTTCTCTCTTCACTTCTTACATCTTCATCAAGTCAATACAGGGACAGAAGTCATAAAAGTTAAGGGAATAAGGCCGGGAGTCTCTCTTTTTTGTAAGCCTAAAAAACAATAGATTGTAGTAAAGACAGCACCAGTCCTTTAAGAAAGGAATGTCAGTGCTGAAGATATTCTAGAAAGGTTTTGGGCAAAGATGCACTTTTGGTTTGGAAATAGGGTCTGAGATCAAAAGCCAGAGTGTCAAATGTTAAGAGTGAATGTGTGATGGGGAAATTGAATCAATAGAAGCCATTTTCAAGAAGGTTGCCAGTGAAGATAAGAAGTTTGGCAATATTGGTGTTAAGGAAGTTTTGTGGTTGTTGTTTACGGTGGGAAAATAAAATACACTTTTGGAAAAAAAGGGAAAGTTGTTGAGGACAGAATTTAGGATGTTGTTCAGTGATATTTACAATGACACAATGTTCCAGAGGAATTAAGAAGGTTTAGACAGTAGGCCAAAGATAAAGAAAGATAATGAAGGGAAATTGCCTAAAATAGTATACATCCATTTATCATATGGGGACATTATGGGTTATGTTTTCTTACATAATTATCTATATTTTCCAAATGTACCATGTTGGATAATCTGACCAGAAACGGAAGTATGGACAATGAATGTCTCTTCGATCCCTTCAGCCTCTGTAAAACACTCCTCAGAGGGGAGTGTGTAGAGGCTGGTGGAAAGGAAAGTTCAGTATTAGAGTACACTCACTTGTTTGCAGGGATTAATTCTATTGAATAGGTGAATTTATGTATTCTGAGAAATGTGGCCCAAGGAAAAATAAGGATTTAATATTGGTGAAATAGCTAACGGTAGAGCCAATATCTAAAAAAAAAGCAAAATAAAATCATACAAAGTTGAATTTAAGCATAAAGCATGGATTAAGAATATAGTTGCTATAGTCAAATTAATACTAGACAGACAACAATGATATGAGTTAAAACACTTGCTCTCCCATTAACTTAGTTGTTCAGTATCAACTTGAGATGAATTCTAATGCCTTTGGGAAGTACTATCTTACAGAAGAGTGTGTATATTCATAATATGACTTTTATAACTGTGTGTTTATATTTTCATGTAATGCTTATTATTTGAACTAAAGGTGAAACAGCTCAGGCGTAAACTATAGAATAGATTTTTTGAAGTATTGATTTTCACTGGAGACAGAAGTCTGGATACTAACAATGCCTCAGACCACTAGACAGGAAAGGAGTGGATGACGAGGTACTTCACTAATAGAATAATAACTAGTTCTTCAGGCACAGAACCCATTAAGAAGACTTTTTGTCAAATTTATCACCTTGTGGTACATAACAGTAAATCAAAAATCAAGGGTAATTGCAATTTCTCAGAAACAGTCTCCATTTGTTCCAGCCATATAGTTTCCTTTTATGATTCCTTTTGCTGTTATTAAATAAAATGCATGAAAAAACTAATATTACCTAAATTTTCCATGTTTGAGTATACAGTTTAAAATAATTTTTATATGAGGAGTCTTATCAAAACTTCTAGTACCTAAATATTTATGAAGAGATACATATAACCATTTATTAATCATTTAGAATGAGAAAATAAAAAAGATTTCCTTATTAACATTGCTGTTTGACAAACATTCCTAGCATCTTGATCTAAGTGACTATGTCAAGCGTATTTATAAACAATACAAATTGATCCATTCTATGAAATAAGCCTAAGAATAATAGCTCTCTTTAAAATTGGCTATTTTGGCAGTTATTTGGCTTAAATTATTTACTGCAAATTAAAGTTCACACATGTTCATGTTTATCCCTCAAATAATTATTAAATGACACTTAAAAAAACTAAAATGTAGAGGAATCTATAAAACATTTATACTTAAGGTTTATAAAACATTAAAATGTCACATTAGCATGTTATATTGTTATATATATTTTTGTACTTATTTTTTATTATACATTAGAAAAACATGTATAACCTCTAAAACATTAATAATAGACATTGTAATATTTTATCCAGTGCATGAAATCAGGATGCTAAACATCTCCGTAGCACTGACAACAGAATTATTTCATTTAGGAAAATACATTACTATAAACGATTGTCCTCATGATTTCATTTATGTTTGAAATTCTTTTGAAGCATTAAAAGTTTTCCTTAAATGAGTTCAAAAATGAATTTTAGTTGAGTAATTAGATATTGCCATTTTGTGTATCATGCGGTGATGATATGTTGTATTTTTCTAAATGAGCTCTACTTGAGAAAGCATATGACATAATTTTAGATCAACCTTTTTTAAATCTATAGACTTTAAAAATTTGTCTACTGTGGTAAAATATACATAATATCAAATTGGCCCTTTTAACCATTTTAAGTGTACAATGTAGTATCATTAAGTCCAATCACATTGTTATGCATCATCACTACCCTCCGTCTCCAGGACTCCTTCATCAATACCTTTTCACTTACGTGCATTGTCAAAAGCAATGTGCATTTATACATTTTTTTATTTAATGTTTTTATATATAAGCTTATGGAATTCATATGCAAACAAACAACTGAGTGAGAATGGCGTTCCAAGAATGAGCTACATTCTTCTTTATCCTTTTATTCACTCTTCTGGCATTTCATGCTCTGTGATACTGTCTTAGCTTCTGTTTAGGATAATCTGAAAAGTTGCAAAGAGAACTGACACTTTCATAAGATTTTTGCTGTCTGTGTCCAACTATCACCTTTTATTAAGAGATTGTAATCTGCAAGCCTGTGTCCTAAGTGAAGCCTCCTTTCATATCCTGACTGGTGTTTATTCTTTCAAGTTCTTGAAAATGTGTTGGTGCTTTAAAGCTCCATAATAAAATTGAAGCATAGGTTAGAGTTTATACTTTGAACTGATTCTTTATACTACTTTATAAATATTTACAATTATCTTATGATTTGAAAATGCTTTGATATTAATTCAGAGTGAATTCTTTCAGGTTCAGACACCTCAGTGCTAGTGAGAGAAAGATTATCTTCTTTCTTCAAGGACAAAATGAGAGTATGCAAATACAAATAGTGGTTAATCCTTTCATTCTTTTTGCATTAAGAAAGTAATGATTATGGACATAGCAAAAGCAAGGAAAACAATAGATGATAATGAGTATAAAGAAAAAGTGCATCATGGAAATAAACAGTTATTAAGATAATAATACCTATGTTTTTACATTTTACATATGTGTAGTAAAATTATGTAACTAAAAATGTACAGCAGACAATGGTTTCCTTGTATTCTGCATTGTTACACTTCACGAGTATTCTGTGTGAACTCCACTTGCCGTATTTTAGAAATCATGGAATGCATACATCAACAGATAGAGCTAAGAATGTTTGGCCTTGAAAAGAAAATACTCCAGAGGATGTGACAGATACCTTTAGGAAGTTGTCAAGCTGTTATGTAGAACAGAAACTAGCTGTGTTCTGTGGTGCTCTAGAAGAAAAAGGCTATCAATGCCTGGGATGAGTTAAAGGAAGAAAGAATGCTGGCTTCATATATAAAAAAGGATGTTAATAGTTGTCCACAAATAGAGGGGCACCTCTTGAGATTGTGAACTTCACATTACTGGAAGTGTTAAAGCAGATTATAAGCAATGAGCTATTAGTGCTGGATTTGAATATGAATTTGTTTGGTGCATGTCTGTCTATAACCAAGAGCCTCACAGGTGCATTGCTACTAGGATATCAACATGAATTAAATAGATCCTCAAAATCAAGTAGATCCTCATCTACTGGGCGAGGAGGTTATCAGATCCTCAGAAGGTTACATTTGAGTTTTATAGGATAAAATTCTATGGTATATAATGCTACTGCTGGGCATTAGAT